GATATATACTAAAAAACCAAACGTATCGCTAGAAATTGTTCAACTTAAGCTTTAATTGAAAAAAATCATACTAAATTGGAATAATCGTCAATAAATTCAAAGAGCCCAACACACGAAAAACTCAAAATCATTCAAATGAATGTGTATGTGTGTGTGTGAGGTGATTATGAATTATAAATTATGATGAATATTAATACAAATCAAATAGAACATAACAACAATACAATTCGAATCGAGAGCTGCCTTGACACTGCCTAATCAAATTTATTTCGGCTGTCTCCGCTGCTGCCAGTTGTACTTAATATTATTATTATTATTGATGATTGCCACGCCTATACGCCCCATGTGCGTGTGCGCTGTGCGCTGTACGATCTGTGCGCTGTATCTGGGCATAGATCAGTGACGTTACGGCCCCGACTCTCTTGGCTTCTGGTTAGATTAGCAAGCGTTTATCGATCGGTTGTTTGCACAGTTGCGCTCGATCTGGGACTAATTCAATTTATTTTTAGCCAACTTCGTGTTGGCCTCGCAACGTGTTTTCCGCATGATTTCGAATACCAATTTTTTGGTAGTACTCAATTGTTTTGTTTCTTTTTTACAGACACACTCACATTCCAAGAGACAAAGCGCGTGTTCACAAATATTTACATTCAAATAAAAACCTAATAATGATATTAAACAGTTCATTTTATAATATATATATCAACACGTTATGGGTATTTCAACATATTTTGCCCAAGTGCGTCAGAGTTTATACAAAGTTAGGGGAAAAATAATGCGAAACTCTATAATAGACAATGTGCGGGTCATCCCATCGAGAGAGCGAGAGATAAACTTAATTTCTAATTAGTTGAAAAGCCATCCGTCAAGTCGAGTAATATAATTTTGATAGCTCATCATCGAGGCTCACCCCCAACAATCGGTTTCTCAGCTTCCCAGTAGCGTCACGCGATGATCAGCACAAATCGAATTTGTGCATGAAAACTATAATTATGATTATCTATAAGCACACATACATACATATATACATATATATGTATACATGTGCTCACTGCGCATTATGCTGGTCAATCGAGTTAGTTCTAGTTCAAGTCCAAGTCCAATGCGGGACGATTTTGACTGATTGATAGCAGCAGATGATTCGAATTGAGTTTATATTTGTATAAATATATATGAAGTGCCTAAACGTAGTTCCCCTTTGCGCGGTATCAATTGAAATTTCTAGCTTACATATCTCTAGACTGTGGTCGCTCGACTGCCCGAACTGCACAATTTATTCATTCCCATAGAGTTTTACTGATAACGCAACTATATGAATTTTGTCTTTGTTTTGTTTTTGTTTTTTTTTTTGTTGCTGGAAACTCGACAAGTGTTGGGATAAATATTTACAACAACAGCAACAACAACTAACCGACAAACCGCACAAGTCATAAAAGAAAACAACAAAATTGATTTCGGTTTTGTTCGGCGACAAAACAAATACAACAACAACAACAGCAACAACAATAAATTTGTATTTAGTTGAGAACAGATTTGTGCTGTTGTTGTTTCTTATTTAATATAAAAACAGATTAAACAAATGTGTTGCAGGCGGGGAATATTTGTTTTTGTTTTTGTTTTTTTTTTTTTTTTTATTTTTTAACACACAATTATAAAAAACGAATACGACAAATAAACCACAAATGCACACATATACATATATACACATTATAAAGACCTTTAATAAAATGCCTAAGTTATTTAGCTTTAAATTTCAATGTGCCAATGAAACTAATAAAAAAAAATTCACATTTTATATAGATGTATATATGCATATATAAATTTCATTAGAATATTACATTTTAGATCAAATAAAAATGTATTTCTTTGTCTCTGATAAACAACATTTAGTATGGTCCATACAAATTATTTTTCAAATATTTTTTGTTGCGCTGTGATAAAGCGAGAAAAAAAGGCGAAAGAGTAAGAAAACAGAAAAAGAATAATCTAAAAGCTGAACGTGTCATTTCTTTTTGACTCAATTATGTGGAATAAGAATATATGTATGTATATATTCATATATCTATGGCACATATAGATATGCTAATATGTATATGTATATATATACATATATATAGTTTGCTAAATCGAAACGGAAGTGTTCTGTGTTTTATTGTTTGTGGTTTTTGGCACTTTGTTGAGCTGCTAATATGCTGGCAATTATTATCGCACAAGCATACATATATTATCATATATGAGCATGTACATGCATATACATAAGTGTTTTGTTTTTTTTCTTTCTATTTCGTTTTTTGTTTGTATAAAATAATTTCAATGTTGTTTTGTGGCATGCTTAACCCATGGCTGGCCCTGCTGCTATTTTTACGCGCTCTTCGCTGCACTTTGTCTATAAAAATGCACTTCTGCGAAAAAATAAACACGCGCCGCGCCAACACAAACAAACAAACAAAATTGTGAAAGAGAGACAGACAGTCTGTGCGAGGGGGGGGGGGAGTTAGGGGGGAGTGAAAGATAGACCATAGACCAGATCTGAGCCAACAAGAGACAGTCTAACAACAAACAACTGTTGCAATTCCATTTAACATAATTTTTGCACAACTGTCGATCATATATGCCCAGTGCCAAGCGCCAGCCATGGGGTAGCATGAGCTCGATGAGCGCTTGCGCGATATATCGATCTGCCACATATTTGCTGCATGCATCCTTTAATGGAAGTTTTGGCTAATCGTTTCTTACAGGGCATTTCACAGTCTGGCGCTTTTGGTGTTTTTTTTGTGGTTGCCTGTGGCGTGGCGGCGGCGTCTAAAAAATATTGTCGCATATTTATGAACATGTGTAACAGATAAATCTGAATCTTTGGGCGCACACGTAAGTGATTTAGTTGTCAGGCGAGTGCATTTATTACAGCTGTGCCTGGGCTCTGTCTCTGGAGCCATGCCCATATGGTAGTCGCCCTGTGTGTGTGTGTGTGTGTGTGTGTGTGTGTGCCAGCCGCCAGGGGGCGCTAGTAATCAAACTAATGAGCTGCACAAAAACTCGGCGAAAATAGCATTTAATGGATTTCAAATAAAACGAAAAGAAAACATCAGCAAAAGCCTCGAAATAAGTGGCAGGTAAACAAATGAGACAGGTAGAGAGAGAGAGAGAGAGCGAGAGAGATGAGATGAGAGGGTGTTAGGCTAAGAGATTGTGTCTGCTGTGTGCCAAGTGAAGTGATAACACATTAAAGAAATGCATTTGAGGGGCGTTTGCGGTTTTTTGTTTTTGTTGTCGCACTGCAGCGACACCTAGGGGTTGCTAATGGCAGTTAGCGCAAGCTAGCAAGCTGCAAAAGATGTCCTCGATGGCTGCCAAGATGCTGTGCGCTGCACTTAATGGCAAATGATAATGATTGATGCTTAAATGCAACCAGCCCTTAAAGCACCTTGCAACACTTGCAGCGCGCTTTGGGGTTGGGCTTGAGCTATGGGGGAATGGGGGCATAGATGCTGGCAATAAGCAATCATTCAATGTGGCCACAATGGAGGCTCGGGCGTAAAGCCCAACACGTCTTGCATTAAAGAAATTGAAACGATGGATGGGTTGAGAAATGCAGCGGAAGAAATGAAGCGGAGGGGTAGAGAAGAGATGAGAAGGGAGAGAGATAAAGCGACAGAGAAGAGATAGATATAGGGAGAGAAAGAGAGAGAGATTTAGATACGAAAATATGGGAAATCTACAGATCTAACATCTACTGATCAAAAGTGTTCCCTCCTTCTCTCTCTCTCTCTCTTCTTTCACAGCATATCCTTAAACGTAACGCATATCAGGCCAATAGCCTTAAGGACCTATCATAAGTAAACACAAGCAACAAGCAGGGCATATAAATATATAACAAACGCTGTGGAGCACCGTCCTTCATGCCGAAACCCGATGCCATGAAAGCACATTTGAATGGGCCGCCCGCCTCTAAGGAGAGCGGAAGATGGCAAGTGCAAACAGACAAAGGAAGAGCAGGGCAGCAAATTGTAGGCGTTAAAATTGTCATGTCAATATTTTAATGATATCACTTTACAGCCACTACCCAACCGCTTAGGCAGTCTATATATAGTCCGTCGTCTGCAGTTCAACTCCATCCAATCAAAGTGTCTTGTGCAAAGTTTCATTTTAACTTTTTCTATGCAAAAAAAAAAAAAAGAAAAAAAACCAAACAAACAAACGCAAAAAAAAATCAACAATTTTTTGTATACAGTTTTTGTTTTGGGAAATTTCCTCGTGGCTTTCGAGTCAAATCCCTTGCATATTTTTGTTATCTCTCTCCCACTCATACCACCCGTCTCTCTCACTCTCTCGGCTCTGCTCTTTCTTGTGCGTCGTGTAAAGAAGAAGTCAAAAGTCCTTTTATTTATTTTTTCGACTTTTTTTTTTCTGCTGCTGCTGTGCTGCTGCTGCTGTTGTTGTTGTTGTTGTTGCGCTGGGACGCTCATTTGTTTGCCTTGTATTTCCTTCTGTTTTCACTCGCTTGTTTTGTTTTCTGTATATTTTTTTTTTTTTTGCACTTGTGTTTGGCTAGAAAATTACAAGAAAAGTGCGCTAAACTGGCCGGCTGTTTGGCTGGGCTGTGTTGGTGGGCGGGTGGGCGTGCCACTGTGGGTGTTTTGTTTACTTATGCAAGTGTTTTCTCAATTGTGCGTGCGGACAGCCCAGGGAGCTGGCACTGGCGTAAAAGCGAACAGTGGCAAGGGGCCAAAGGGTCGACAGGGGGCGAACCCGGAGGGGGGTACGGTCAGTCGTGCGTCGTCGTCTGCGGTTGGAATTTCTTCTTCTTCCTACTTTTTTTTTTTCATTTTTGAGCTGGCTTTAGGGTTGCCATTTAACTCCTCCAGTTAGTATTTTATTTATTTATTTTTATTTTTATTTTTTTTTTGTTGGTGGGCGGCTGGCAACATTTGTCTAATCTTAACGGTTTTACATTTCATTGCGCCGGTATATGGGCAGCGGCTCGTGGAGTGGCCGCAGACAGTTTATTAAATTAGCTAACGGAATGTCTTGGAGAGTGTATTTCGGGCACTTACCTCTTTGTCTTTGGCAGCTAATAGTACAGCGGGCTGATTGTTGTTGTTGTTGTTATTGTTGTTGTTGGCGCTGGCGTTGCGCTTTTTGCGCTTCTCATTGCTGTTGTTTGTATTATTATTGTTGTTGTTGTTGTTGTTGGTGTTAGTATTATTGTTGGTGCAATCGTCATCCTCGGCGCTATGTGCCACATGTTGCTCATTTACATTATTATCACGCAGTGCAACATGTTGCGTTTCACTGTTGTTCTTGTTCTTTCGACTACAGCTATCGGCATTGTTATTGTTGTTGTTTTTGTTGTTATTGTTGTTATTGTTGTTGTTAACATTTAAACTAGCTTCCAGCTCATCCTGTTGCTCATCGGCCGGCACATCGGCATCGACACCTCGCTCATCGCCCTCATCATCATCATCATCATCAACATCGGCGTCGTGTTGATCATTGTTGGCCGCCGCAGTTGCATTCGCATCGGCAACATTTTCAGTTCTTGCCAATGCTGGCGCGACAACAGCAATGCTGCCCGTATCAGCAACATGCTCCGGCTCCAGCTCCATATCATCGTCGTCTAGATCGCCATCGGCATGCGCCACATTCGATTGCATCGATGCGTCCTCCTCGTCATCGTCCTCATCGTCATCGTTGCAATTGCTGCTGGCTATTGGCTCGGCAATATCTCGTGCTGATTGCTGTTGTGTGGCGGCAGTTGCTGTTGCTGTTGCCGTTGTTGTTGTTGCTGTGCTTATTGCAGTTGCCGCGATTGGCGAATGCATTGGCGATTGCTGTTGCTGTTGCTGCTGGGCTGCCGCTGCTGCTGCCCGGGCCGCCGCTGCAGCAGCCGCTGCCGCTTCCATCATCATTTGCTGGGCGTGATTGAAGAAGAGCTTCGGATTCAAGCAAGCGCCGCCGACGCCGACGCCGTTTTGCAGGCTGCTCTGCAACTGTTGCTGCTGCTCGGCGCTGAGCAACGGCGGCGATGGCGACGGTGTATTTGTGTTGGCCAGCAGATTGCCGCCGTTCTGTTGCAGCGTTATGGCCGCCGCAACAATCGAGCTATTCAACAGCTTGTCGCTCTCGCCCTCGCTTCCTCCAGTGGCTTCCTCTTCGCCGCTGGCCAATGATGTTGCTGCTGCTGCTGCTGTTGCTGCCGCTGCTGCTGTTGCTGCTGCTGTTGCTAGTGCTGATTCGGATGTGTTGTTGTTCTCGCTGTTACTGTCGCTGTTGCTGCCGGGCGTGCCTGTGGATAGTTGCTCCTTGAGTGTGTTCACTTCCTTCTCGGCTAATGTAGCGCGCTGTAAATAACAGAAAGAGAGAGAGAGAGAGAGATAGTGTGAGTAAAGAGTGTCAGCTTAGTCTGGCCATATGTTTGTCGTGGCCAAAAGGCAACTATCGACCCTCATTAATTTTACTTTTAAAGTCATTACGGGTTAAATTTAGCCAAATTAATACGTTGCCAAACTTTTGCCCAGCCGACAAAAAAGGCTTAAAAAGCCAACAACGAATTGCTGTGGGCCCTCTGCAATGCCCATTCGCATTAGCAACAGCAGCAGCAGCAACAACAACAAACAGCCGACAAATTTATAGTTTATCGTTGGTATCGATAAGCCAACTTGGAATTTTAGTGCTATTAGCGTTGACCTTCGCCAGAGGGGGGAAGCCAGACGACGGCGACGACGACGACGACGACGGCTTGCTTGAAATCAAATGCCAAATGAGAAATTAAAACAACAACAGCAGCAACAACAGCAACAGCGACAAAAAAAGAGAGAAAGGTTACAAAAATATGCGGTGCAAACTTTTTTGGCAAATTAGTCTGGGCCCAGGACCCACAGCCGACCCCATAGAACCAGAGCTAGAGCCACAGCCAGAGCCAGCCCCAAATAAACTCACTGGCGAATCTGAGTCGTGGCCCCATAGCTTAGTCAGGTCCGGTGCAGTGTCCTCTTCTCCTTGGCTGTAGCCAAATCGCTTCGACTACGACTTTGCCTCCGCCTTCAGATGGCAATGACTTTTGGGGGCTCTTTGGGGGCTTCGATTTTCTGTTGATTTGTACTTGTTTTGGTTTTTGAGTTTTGTGCAATTTTATTTGTATAAATACCGGAAGCCGATGAGCGGGTGCCGGCGGGGGCTGCCAGCCGGCAGGGCGTTGCAGGCAATAAAGAACTTTGGAAATTAGTCGATGGGCATATCGTTGCTCTATTGCCAAAGAGAGAGAGAGAGAGAGAGAGAGAGAGAGAGAAAAAAAGAAAAGAAAAGAAAAGCGTAAGGGACGCTTTGCCGTAAGCCTTTGCAGTTCTTATAGCACTTTTTGCCTCAAATCGATGAGAACGACGCCACCACCCCCTCCCCCCCCTCTCGGCCACCTCCCTGCCTCTCGAAAACTTAAGCAGGAAGTCGTTATAAGGGTCGGGTTAAGACTGAATTGCAATGCAGTTGCTGTGGACTGGCGAAATGTAAACGATTAGGAAAAGTCCTTTTGGACTACTAGAACAACTTTTGTGGGTGTGCGTGTATGTGTGTGTGTGTGTGTGTGTGGTTGGTTCAGGACAATAGTTGAGCCACGCTCAATGGCAGAAGATAATGTTGCGGTCTTAGGCACTCGACGAGATGTCAGACTGCTCGATCGGGGTTCGATTGAAGAGGGAAGATGACATAGGGCAAGCGTCTTAAGTGCAACTATTTGTGGGCAAAGTTTTTGTAATTAGAGCTGACGAAAAATTTGAGACCAGAGCAAGAGATGAGGTCATAGCAGATATCTTAAGATAAGTTAGATCTTCTCAAAGATATAAATTAAGCAGATAAAAAAGCATAAAAGTTGAGGTCAGTCTACCCCAGCTAAAGACCTTCCAGAAACAGCTTTAAGTTCATGTTGCCTTGGCTGATGCATTTACAACTTTGGCTAATTCCAACTAGGTGAAATCTAGGTTGTTTGTTGCCTGTCACACAGGGCTGTAGCCTTCAAGAGTTAGAAGCTTGGCAGATTGTGTATTGGTTTAAAATGCAGCTAAATGACTAGAGACTGCCTCGTCGAGCCGCAGGAATTTGCTGTCTTTATTTATTTATTGTTGTTGTTGTTGTTGTTGTTGTTGTTGCCGCTGTGTTTATCTTTTTTCTTGTAGATGAATGGCCCTCGAGGCATATTTGTCAACATCATCAGCAAACGATGCGAACCCGAACTCAAACCAAAAACCGAACCCGCAGCCAAATGTAACGTTAGCAGGAGCCGCAGGGCCAACCAACATAACAGGGCGAGTAGGGGGTTAGGGCCTTGACGGTGTGGGTGTGGCGCAGTCTCGGTCTCGAGCTCGACTCGTCGCATAGATATATATTTATGATATTTAAAAGCTCTTAAGTACAAACAACAGACAAGCGACTGGGATTGGGATTGGGACTGGGGAATGTGAACAGTGGGCAGGGAGGGGGTGCGGGTAGGGGGGGGGGGGGGGTGGGGGGGGGGGGGGGGGGGGCAGCGGCATTGGACTCACAGAGGCTAGGAGGAAGCTGCAGTTCTGTCCTTGCCGAGGACTTAAAATGCCAGACAGCCTTCAAAAGCGCGCTGGAGCTCTTGGAGCTGGGCAACGGTTGGGGCACTGATTTTCATGCTGACTGTTTCGTGGCAAATGTCTGTGTGGCTCATGTTTCGGTTGCTGTTGTTGTTGTTGCTGTTGTTGCTGTTGCTGTTGCCGCCGCTGAGCTGCTTAAGCTTGAAAATTGTTTTCATAATGCCAGGCGGTCGATGCTTGCCACAGAAAAACAAAGCAGGAACAAAACAAAAAAAAAAAAACATTTCAAAAAAAGTGTGCTTCCTTTTCTTTTGCATCGTTTCTTTGGTTGTTGTTGTTTCTTTTTTCTGACTTTTTGTTGCGAAAATCAATCAGTGGCTGCCCAGCTGTGCGCTGCCAAAACTGTGCTCAGGTTGTTGTTGTCTTGGCGCGCTTTGAAATGGAATCCCCGTGAGAAAGACGGCACTTGTTGTGCCGTCCAGCAAAAACTAGCTGGCCAAATTCTCAGAGCAAATCAATTAATGTGGAGCAGGAGACGGCAAATGGAATTCGAATTGGAGCTGACGATGGAGCGACAGCCGGAGCTGGAGCTGGAGTTGATGGGGCAACTGTGTGCTCAGCCTTTTGTGGCCCAGTTCGAGCGGCTTAGCAAGCAGTTGCCAACCAAATGAGTTAATTAACTAAAATGCGGGTGGCTTTGCTCGTGTTTTACTTATATATCTATATATATATATATCTTTTTTTGGGGGTTTTTCATACACATACACACACACAAATATACACAGAGAGAAGTTGTAAAGTTCTATGGGCACACTTCAAATGCTATCCACCTCTGTCAGCCTTCCTCTCCCTCTCTCTCTCTCTCCCTCTGTCCAGTCTGTGTGTGTGGTCAGCTTATGCCAAAAAAGGCTTTAGTATTGAGCACCCTTTTAGCGTATTTTTTTTCCAATTTTTTTTTGTTGGGTACGTTTTTTTTTTTTGGATGGGCTGCACAGCGAGTTTCATTTAATATTTTTGCATGTGCCGGCGCAGCCACTTCAAAGGAGCCACCCGAAAATAGCCCGTCGAAAAGAAAAAGAGAGAGAACGAGGGGGCAGCCAAAAAAATATATATGAAAAAAAAAAAGATGAAAACGCACTGCGCGCCAAAAATGTTAAGTGAAATGTTAACAGCGGGGCCAATGTGCGAGGCTGTTAACATTTCTATTAGCCAAAAACGCGCCAACGACCAGGTTAAGCAAGGGTCACAATTACCCATCAATTCAGTTCACAGCGCAGTTCAAAAGTTATTAAAGCTAAGTGAGCTGAATTTACATGAACAAAAAATTAATAAAGCTCTAAGCTGTCTAGTCAATGCTCAAAGTCCATAAGAATTTCATTTAATTTAAAATAATAATAATAATATTATTATTATAATAATTTTCATTCTCTTTTAGTTTATTCATTTGCTTGATTCAATCATTTCAGAAAGCTGCTGAAAGCTCTCGGCTTAGAAGCTCTGCGTATTGAACTCTTTTTTGTTTGCCTGCATTAATTGCATGCTTAATGCTGCTTCATGAGCTTCAGAGCTCAAAGGTTTCGCTCAAGGATCAGCCGTGGGGCAATTGAGCTCTTGTTGCTTATTATTTTCTTATGCATTTATTTATTCTTTTTATTCTTATTATTCTTATTTTTTTTCCTTTTGCTGCATGCTCTCTTCAGCAATTGTTGCAACTATCGTTGGCACGCACACACATACACACGCACAGAGAAGCACTTCAGTGCTTTACAATGCGCAACCAAGTCAAATACCACTCGCCAGCTAACCCGAGCAGCTCGAGCTTGCAACCACGCTCTCAATTGCTCTGCATGTGTGTGCGTATGTGTGTGTGTGTGTGTGAGTCGTGCGCGCGGCACATGTCAAAAAGCGCGCACTTTTCCAAACAGAAACAGATTCCAGCCCCAGGGCGTAAGTATGCGTGTGTGTGTGCGTGTGTGTGTGTGTATTATAATGCATAAATACTCGTACTCCTTTGGCAGTCGTGAAGAATTTTTGCATGCGGCATTGTCTCAAGCTGTTTTCTGAAGTGAGTCGAACGGTCGACGTATATTTTATATATTTTTTATTTTGTCGCATGGCAGCTGTCAGCGAAAGAGCCGGAGACACAGAGAGAAGGAGACGGGGAGGGAGAGCGAGAGAGAGAGCGGGTCAGCAGTTGAGCGAGAGGGCGAGGGCAGGCAGCACTTTTTGTAATTAGTACGAAAGCAACGTTATGAATTGTGCTTGAAGCTCAGCTCGAGTGCAAGTTGTTGTTGCTGCTGTTGTTGTTGTTGTAGGCAACCCCTCAGCAGCAGCAGCAGCAGCAGCAGCAGCAGCAGCAACAGCAGCAATATCTGAGCTGGGTCTGAGAAACGTCGCTGCATTGTTTCGCAGCACAATAAATCAAAGCAAATCAATGCGACGTCCGCTGCTGCATGAGTGGGAGGCCGAGCGAGCGAGCGGGAGAGAGAGAGAGAGAGAGAGAGTGTGAGGGAGGAAGAGTAAGAGGGCTCTGGTTGGGCACTTTGATTTAGGGGCGGCTGTCAGTTGTTGTCTTGACATTTTCAGTGGTGCGGGTGGGTAAAATGCAAAAAACCTCAGAGGCAGCCGCTGCTGCTGCCGCTGCCACTTAAACGCCTACATGACATGACAAGCAGCGTAAAAGTGGGTAAACGGGAAGGGGGAAGAGGAGGAGCAGAGGCTGCCACTGCTGCTTAGCTACATAAGGAAAAGGATGGCAAAGCGTTTTCACAATTACACACACATTAAAC